TGTGTCATCCCCCGGCTGCAGGACACAGGGAGAGCGGGAATCAGGCCAGGAGGGCATTTCCAGGCGGGAATTCCCAGGGGAAAGGGTTCCACGTGCTCCGGGGAATCCAAACCCTCGACTCAATCCAAACCCCCAAGCTCAACATTCCATGATATCCCTGGTTTTTCCCTACTGACTTCCAAAGGCTGTGTCATGCCCAGACTGCAGGACACGGGGAGAGCGGGAATCAGGCCGGGAGGGCGTTTCCAGGTGGGAATTCCCAGGGGAAAGGTCCACGGGATCGGCCCCGCGCTCCCGGGAATCCGAACCCTCAACTCAATCCAAACCCCCAAGCTCAACATTCCATGATATCCCGGGTTTTTCCCTACTGACTTCCAAAGGCTGTGTCATGCCCAGACTGCAGGACACGGGGAGAGCGGGAATCAGGCCGGGAGGGCGTTTCCAGGTGGGAATTCCCAGGGGAAAGGTCCACGGGATCGGCCCCGCGCTCCCGGGAATCCGAACCCTCAACTCAATCCAAACCCCCAAGCTCAACATTCCATGACATCCCTGGCTTCCCACACAGTCCTTTGGGATTCTCCTCTATTATTTCCCACACAATCCTTTGGGATTTTCCTCTCTTTCCCCACAATCCCTTTGGGATTTTCCTCTATTATTTTCCACACAATCCTTTGGGATTTTCCTCTATTTCCCACACAATCCTTTGGGATTTTCCTCTATTATTTCCCACACAATTTTTTGGGATTCTTCTCTATTATTTCCCACACAATCCATTGGGATTTTCCTCTATTATTTCCCACACAATCCCTTTGGGATTTTCCTCTATTTCCCCTCAATCTCTTTGGGATTTTCCTCTATTATTTCCCACCCAATCTCTTTGGGATTTTCCTCTATTTCCCACACAATCCTTTGGGATTTTCCTCTATTTCCCACCCAATCCCTTTGGGATTTTCCTCTATTATTTCCCACCCAATCCCTTTGGGATTTTCCTCTATTATTTCCCACCCAATCCTTTGGGATTTTCCTCTATTATTTCCCACCCAATCCCTTTGGGATTTTCCTCCATTTCCCACCCAATCCCTTTGGGATTTTCCTCTATTTCCCACCCAATCCTTTGGGATTTTCCTCTATTATTTCCCACCCAATCTCTTTGGGATTTTCCTCCATTTCCCACCCAATCCTTTGGGATTTTCCAGGTGTGGAGTGCAGATCTCTGCTGAGAATTCCAGGGGGAGGGAAGGCCCCTTTCATCCTGTGGGAAAAGGTGGATCCAGGCCCCGGGGGTACCTTGTTGTAGATGTAGCAGTTTGTAAACATGGTGTTGAAATCCTGGATACATTCCTGGGCGTTCCAGTAGTAATTGTTCTCCAGGCGCTTCTTTATTGTTCCCATGTCCATCGGGGTTTTAATGATCTTGTAATAATCCTGGGGAAGGGGGAAGGGACAGAAATCAGGCTGGGAAGGAAAAGTCCAAAGGGTTGAGGTTCCTCTGGGTCTCTCTTATACCTGGATACACCTGGATCCAACCACTGGATCACCAAATCCAACCATGGAATCTCCAAATCCAACCATGAGATCACCAAATCCAACCATAGGATCACCAAATCCAACCATGAGAACACCAAATCCAACCATGAGATCACCAAATCCAACCATAGGATCACCAAATCCATCAGGTCACCAAATCCAATCATCAGGTCACCAAATCCAACCATCAGATCACCAAATCCAACCATCAGATCTCCAAATCCAACCATCAGATCGCCAAATCCAGCCATGAGATAACCAAATCCAACCACTGGATCACCAAATCCAACCATCAGGTCACCAAACCCAACCATCAGATCACCAAATCCAACCATGAGAACACCAAATCCAACCATGGAATCTCCAAATCCAACCACTGGATCACCAAATCCAACCACTGGATCACCAAATCCAACCATGGAATCTCCAAATCCAACCATCAGGTCACCAAATCCAACCATGGAATCTCCAAATCCAACCATCAGGTCACCAAATCCAACCATCAGATCACCAAATCCAACCATCAGATCACCAAATCCAACCACTGGATCACCAAATCCAACCATCACATCTCCAAATCCAACCACTGGATCACCAAATCCAACCATCACATCTCCAAATCCATCCACTGGATCACTGAGTCCAATCACTGGACCAGGAATCCAACGGCTGCATCGTGAATCCAAGTCCAACCACTGGATCAAGTCCAACCCTCAATGACCGAGTCTAACCATTGGATCATGGAGTCCAACCATTGGATCCAACCACTGGATCATGGAGGCCAACTGTTGGATCCAACCATTAGACCATGGAGTCCAACCATTGGATCACCGAGTCCAACCACTGGATCATGGAGTCCAACCACTGGATCACTGAGTCCAATCATTGGATCAAGTCCAACCACTGAATCATGGAGTCCAACTGTTGGATCCAACCATTGGATCACCAAGTCCAACCACTGGATCATTGAGTCCAATCATTGGATCAGACTCCAACCATTAGACCATGGAGTACAACCACTGGATCAAGTCCAACCACTGGATCAAGTGAGTCCAACCACTGGACCACCTACTCCAACCATTGGATCAACCCCAACCATCGGATCAGAGTCCAACCACTAGACCATGGAGTCCAACCATTGGATCATGGACTCCAACCACTGGATCAGAGTCCAACCGTTGGACCACCTACTCCAACCGTTGGATCAACCCCAACTGCACAGGTCAAGTTCTGTGACCTCTGGACCGGGAGGACACCCCCGTGTGCCACGCCCCACCCGTGCCATACGCCCACCCGTGCCACGCCTCCCGCACTCACGGGGAGGTTGAGCTTGACGGCGTCCACGGGCTGCTGGAAGGGCCACGCGAACTGGTGCTTCCAGAGCGTCTTGAGCACCACCTTGAGCAGGTACTGCAGCTGGTTCGTTTGGCGCTTGGGCTTGTTGGGGTTGGAGGTCTCCGGCGGGGGGGGGTTGACGCCGATGCCGATGCCCTGCTGGGGCTGGGCCTGGGCCGGCGTCGTGGACATCTGGGAGCTCTCCAGCCCGTCCCCCATCACCGGCAGGTTCCGCAGCCTCGTGCCGGGGCCGCTCTCCGCCGCCATGCTGTTGATCCCATTGCACTCCTCACCGGACACCCTGCGGGGAGGGAAGAGGAGGACCCTTCAATCCTGGCTTTGGGTTACCTAAAAACCGACCCGGGGATCTCCCCCGGACCGGGCGGTGTCCTCGCGGTGACCGCGCCGGGCCGTCACAACCGACGGGCGTCCCCCATTGGGAGAGGACGTTCCCGTCCCGTTTCCCGTCCCCGCTCCTCGGGAGCCGGAGTTTTACCCTGTTCTTGCCTAATCTGGTCAAGGAGGACTCCGAGGTTCTCCGTGAAGAGCTTCCACTGCCTCAGAACGAGGCTCCTGGGTCCCGGCAGGAACCACCAGGACGCCAAGAACGGGCGTTAAACTGGGGCTGGTCAACCTTCATCTCTGGCTGAAGGGGCACAGGGTGACCCACGGGGCTCCCTCCAGCTTCTCCAGGGTCCCACCCCCCCTGGGGGGTCAGCTGAGCCCAGTTCCACCCCAAAGACTGACTTTCAGGGGAAGGTTGAGCTCTGACAGGGACAGACCCAAATTTAACTCGTGGGATCTTTTGGGAGAGGGTTGAAGGTCTAATTTAGGGAGATCATTCTTAGGTAGGTCATTAGGTGGGGAATCTTTGCCTCAATAATCTTCAGGTTGACCAACCTTTGGGTCAACGAGTCTTTGGGTCAACCAATCTTTGGGTCGATAAATCTTTGCGTTGACCGATCTTTTCATCAATGAATCTCTGGGTCAGCCAATCTTTGGGTCGATCAATCTTTGGGCTGATAAATCCTTGGACTGACCAACCTTTGGGTCGACCAACCTTTGAGTCAATAAATCTTTGGGTCAATAAATCTCTGAGTAAATAAATCCTGGGGTCGATAAATATTTTGGTCAATAAATCTTTGGGTCAGCAATGTCTGGGTCAACCAATCTTTGGGTCAATGAATATTTGAATCAATGAATCTTTGGGTCGATGAATCTTTGGGTCAACCAACATTTGGGTCAATAAATCTTTGGCTCAATAATCTCTGGGTCGACCAATCTTTGGGTCAACCAATCTCTGGGTCAATAAATCTTTGGCTCAATAATCTCTGGGTTGACCAATCTTTGTGTCAATGAATCTTTGGGTCAATGAATCTCTGGGTCAACAAATCTTTGAGTCAATAAATCTTTAGGTCAGTGAATCTTTGGGTCAATAAATCTTTGGCTCAATAACCTCTGGGTTGATCAATCTTTGGGTCAATAAATCTTTGGGTCAATGAATCCTTGGGTTGACCAACCTTTGGGTCAACCAACCTTCGTTTGGGTCAACCAATCTTTGGGTCAATGAATTTTGGGTTGACCCACCTTTGGGTCAACCAACCTTTGAGTTAATGAATTTTTGGGTCAATAAATCTTTGGGTCAATGAATCTTTGGGTCAACCAACATTTGGGTCAACCAATCTTTGGGTCAATAAATCTTTGGCTCAATAATCTCTGGGTTGATCAATCTTTGGGTCAATGAATCTTTAGGTCAATGAATCTTTGGGTCAACCAATCTTTGGGTCAACGGAGACATCCAGGGAGACCCAGGTAGACAAACCCTCAAATAATTACTGTTGGTGGATAACTGAGGTAGGAAATAACCCTGAGTGGTTAATTTGCATAGATAATTGACGGGGGCCACCTTCAGGTCATTAACCCAGGCAGGTGACCCCGAACTTGCTCATTTGCATAACGAGGGGGGGTCATTTCCTTCCGTGGATAATCGTGGCCCGTATGGATCATTTGGGATAATCCGGGGTGGGAATCCGACCCCACACGACTCCGGGGGGTGGTTTACACGGATAATCCTCGGGAACTTCATTTCAGCATCATTCCAAGACCAGAAATTTGGGAAAACTGTCATTTCTCGGGCTGTTTTCCGGGAGTTTTTTTTCCCGGAAGTTTCTCCCGGAAGTTTTTCCCGGAGTTTTTTCCCCCCACTCCCCCTGGGAGGCCCCGTTACCTTGTAGGATACATTGCCATGGAATTTTGCCCCGGAAAACGCTGCGGAGTCAGAAGTCGCTTGGCTTGTCCATCTATCGGCCGTGGCTCCGGGCACAGATGCCTCCAGATCCCGAATCTGGGAGAACAAACACGCCCTGAATCCCGGGAATCCAGCCCAGGCACCGGGAACACGCCCTGGATCCCGGGAATCCAGCCCAGGCACCGGGAACACGCCCTGGATCCCGGGAATCCAGCCCAGGCACCGGGAACGAGGGAAAACCCCAGGGAATTGAGCCAACGGCTCCGAGCGCGGCTCCGGATGGAATTCCCGAATTCCTGCCCTCCGGGGACGCCCCAAAAAGTCCCGAAATCAGGAATTCCACGGGGAGAAGGATCCCAGGGGGGTCCTCACCTGAATTCCCAGTTGCCCTTCCCACTGTCGCTCCCTCAGCAGCCGAAGGCTCCGAGCGGCATCTTCGGCTCCGAGCAGCTCTGGGAAGGCTCTGCAGGGACAACATTCCATGAATTCCAGGGGTCAACAGTCCCAAGGAATTCCAGGGGTCAAGGACAACAATCCAGGAATTCCAGGGGTCAACATTCCCAAGGAATTCCAGGGGTCAACGTTCCCAAGGAATTCCAGGGGTCAAGGACAACATTCCCACTCAATTCCCAGGTTCAAGGACAAAATTCCCAGGTCCAAGGACAACATTCCCAACAAATTCCGGGGTTTTAGCCCCAAAGGCTCTGCAAGGACAACATTCCATGAATTCCCGAGTTCAAGGACAACATTCCCAATTAATTCCCGCGGTCAAGGACAACATTCCCAAGATAAAGGACAACATTCCCAATGAATTCCGAGTTTTTAGCCCCGAAGGCTCTGCAAGGACAACATTCCCAATGAATTCCTGGGTGCAAGGACAACATTCCCAAGGAATTCCCAGGGTCAAGGACAACATTCCTGAGTCAAGGACAGCATTCTCAATGAATTCCCAGTTTTTAAGGACAACATTCCCAATGAATTCCCAGTTTTTAGCCCCAAAGGCTCTGCAAGGACAACATTCCCAAGGAATTCCCGGGTGCAAGGACAACATTCCCAAGGAATTCCCAGTTTTTAAGGACAACATTCCCAAGGAATTCCAGGGGTCAAGGACAACATTCCTGCCCAATTCCCGGGTCCAAGGACAAAATTCCCAATGAATTCCAATTCCCAGGTTCAAGGACAACATTCCCAATGAATTCCCGGGTGTAAGGACAACATTCCCAATGAATTTCCAGGGTCAAGGACAACATTCCCAATGAATTCCCAGTTCAAGGAAAACATTCCCAATGAATTCCCAGTTTTTAAGGACAACATTCCCAACGAATTCCCGAGGTCCAGGACAACATTCCGGCCCAATTCCCAGGTGCAAGGACAACATTCCCAATTAATTCCCAGCAAGGACAACATTCCCAATGAATTCCCTGGTCCAAGGACAACATTCCCGAGCCAAGAACAACATTCCCACTGAATTCCCAGGTTCAAGGACAACATTCCCAATGAATTCCAATTCCCAGGTCCAAAGACAACATTCCCAATGAATTCCCAGTTTTTAAGGACAACATTCCCAATGAATTCCCAGTTTTTAGCCCCGAAAGCTCTGCAAGGACAACATTCCCAAGGAATTCTCGGGTCCAAGGACAACATTCCCAATGAATTCCCGGGGTCAAGGACAACATCCAAGGAATAACAGAGATCAGGGGAATCAGTTCCTTGGGAATAACAGGGAGCAGCCAAAGGCCCCAAACCAACCCCCGATCCCTGAAATTCCCACTTTTCCTCCCCAAAAACGGGAATTTTTCCCTCAAAAGGCACCAGACCCACCTCCAACCCCCCGGAATTCCCACCCCAATCCCGGCTCTCCCGGCGTTCCCGGAATTCCCGGATGTTTTCCCGGCGCTCCCTGGTTTTGGTTGGTGCCCCTGGAATTTTTTTTCCGGCTGTTTGTGCTTCCCTGGCTCGGATCAAACCCCCCTCCCCCCCTGGGAGTCATTCCAGGATTATCCCAAAGCCCTTGGAAAAGTCTAATTAGGAACCGCCCCAGGATTCCTCTTCCCAGAAATCCCAGGAATGGCGACCGAGCTCCTTCTTCCCGCTAAACCCGGGATCAGGAGGCCAGTCCCGCTCCCCGGAGCTGCGGCAGCGCTTCCCAGATATTTGGCACTCCGGAATTTGGGAGGAAATCCCCGATTTTCCCGCCGGTTTCCGGCGAAAGCGACGCCCGGCACAGAATTCCCAAAAAATTCCCAAGGAGAGGCTCCAAAATATCCAGGGAAAAGGATGAAAGGTGGTTCCAAAGGAGCAGTTTTGGGTCTCTCAGCAGGTTCAGATCCCGTTCCCAAAGTTCCCGCTGGGAATTCCAGTCCCTTTCCCAAAAAATTCCAAAGGAGAAGCTCCAAAATATCCGGGAAAAGGGATGAAAGGCAGCCCCGAAGGAGCAGTTTCGGGGTTTGGATCCCAATCCCAAAGTTCCAGCTGGGAATTCCAGTCCCTTTCCCAAAAAATTCCCAAGGAGAAGCTCCAAAATATCCGGGAAAAGGGATGAAAGGCGGTCCCAAAGGAGCAGTTTCGGGGTTTGGATCCCAATCCCAAAGTTCCAGTTGGGAATTCCGGTCCCACTCCAAGGTATCCCAGCGCCTTTCCCGGGATGCTCTGAGCGATATCCGGGCGGGAAGCGCCGCATCCCGAGGGAGCTTCCCGGTTTTCCGGCAGGACGAGTTTGGAGAAGCTCCAAAACCGCCTGAAAATCCTTTGGGTCGCTGCTTTTCCGAGAGTTTTCCCAAAATCCCACGGCGTTCCCAGAGGTGCTGCTGCTCGGAAGACTCGGAGCAGGAAAGTCCCGGGCCGGAATTCCGATCCCTCCGGATCCCTCCGGATCCCTCCGGATCCCGCCGGCTCCTCCCAAGGGCCGTTGAGGGGAACTCGAGGCCGTTATCCAGGGAAAATCCCTTTTCCAGGGGGATTCCGACCCCTTTTCCCGGCGCCGGGGCGGCTCCTCCGTGGCCTGGACGCATCCAGGTTTTTCCCAATCCCGGCTGAGGGAACTTCTTCGGGCGTTTTCCGTGGGAAGGAGCAGGATTTGGGATGGATCCGGAGCCGGGAGCCCCCGGCAGCTTCTCCCCTCCCCCCAACCCCAGGGAAAAGCCCGGGATGCTCCGAAGGCTTCGGGATCAGGATGTGGGAGAGCTCTGGGACGCCCCCCCCACCCCCTCCCGGCTCCCTCGGGCTCCAATTCCCTGGAATTTTCAGTGGGAAAACTCCCAGTTAGACGCAGATCCCAAACCCTCCCCCCGGACACGGCTCAGCCCAGAATTCCCGACGGGAGCCGCCATCCTTCCATCCCACATCCGGCACATTCCCGGGGGATTCCGGCTCCGTGGGACGATCCCGAACCCGCAGGGCCACATTCCAAGGATCCCAGACAGGATCCGACAGCCCATTCCCTGTTCCCGTTCCCTGTTCCCGTTCCCTGTTCCCATTCCCTGTTCCCTGTTCCCATTCCCTGTTCCCGTTCCCTGTTCCCGTTCCCTGTTCCCTGTTCCCGTTCCCTGTTCCCATTCCCTGTTCCTGTTCCCTGTTCCTGCCATTCCCTGTTCCCATTCCCTGTTCCCATTCCCTGTTCCCTTTCCCTGTTCCCATTCCCTGTTCCCTGTTCCCATTCCCTGTTCCCATTCCCTGTTCCCATTCCCTGTTCCCTGTTCCCATTCCCTGTTCGCTGTTCCCAGTTCCCATTCCCTGTTCCCATTCCCTGTTCCCATTCCCTGTTCCCTTTCCCTGTTCCCATTCCCTGTTCCCGTTCCCTGTTCCCTGTTCCCATTTCCTGTTCCCATTCCCTGTTCCCATTCCCTGTTCCCATTCCCTGTTCCCATTCCCTGTTCCCATTCCCTGTTCCCTGTTCCCATTCCCTGTTCCCATTCCCTGTTCCCCTTCCCTGTTCCCATTCCCTGTTCCCATTCTCTGTTCCCATTCCCTGTTCCCTGTTCCCATTCCCTGTTCCCATTCCTTGTTCTCATTCCCTGTTCCCATTCCTTGTTCTCATTCCCTGTTCCCATTCCCTGTTCCCGTTCCCTGTTCCCTGTTCCCGTTCCCTGTTCCCGTTCCCTGTTCCCATTTCCTGTTCCCATTTCCTGTTCCCATTCCCTGTTCCCATTCCCTGTTCCCTGTTCCCATTCCCTGTTCTCATTCCCTGTTCCCATTCCCTGTTCCCGTTCCCTGTTCCGTGTTTAGGGAAGGAACACCCCCAACAATCCCGGGAAACGCGGCTGCACCAGCAACCCCCTCCCTGTGGAGATTCCCCCCTGGGATCCAGGGAATGCTGCCTGGAATGTGAAGTGGGAATGCTGCTGTTTAATGGGATCAGGGGCCGCAATTCCCTGGATTCCCCCCGTTCTCAGGGATTCCCGGGATTTGCCCGGGGCTGAAGGGGAAACCTCTCCCTGCAAACCCAGGTTTGACATTCCCAAGGGTGACATTCCAGGGCCATGGAATCCCCAGCCTGGGAATGCTGCTGTTTAATGGGATCAGGGGCCGCAATTCCCTGGATTCCCCCCATTCTCAGGATCTCCAATTCCCGGGATTTGCCCTCGATTCCCGGGATTTGCCCGGGGCTGAAGGGGAAACCTCTCCCTGCAAACCCGGGTTTGACATTCCCGAGGGTGACATTCCCAAATCCCAACCAGGGCCTGGATGGAATCCCCAGCCTGGGAATGCTGCAATTACTTGGGAATGCTGCTGTTTAACGGGATCAGGGGCCACAATTCCCTGGATTCCTCTGGTTCTCAGGGACTCCAATTCCCGGGATTTGCCCGGGGCTGAAGGGGAAACCTCTCCCTGCAAACCCAGGTTTGACATTCCCAAGGGTGACATTCCTGAATCCCATCCAGGGCTGTGGAATCCCCAGCCTGGGAATGCTGCAATTACTTGGGAATGCTGCTGTTTAATGGGATCAGGGGCCGCAATTCCCTGGATTCCCCCCGTTCTCAGGGTCTCCAATTCCCGGGATTTTCCCTCGATTTCCAAGATTTTCCAGGGGTTGAAGGGGAAACCTCTCCCTGCAAACCCGGGTTTGACATTCCCGAGGGTGACATTCCTGAATCCCATCCAGGGCCTGGATGGAATCCCCTGCCATTAATTGGGAATGCTGCTGTTTAACGGGATCAGGGGCCACAATTCCCTGGATTCCTCTGGTTCTCAGGGACTCCAATTCCCAGGATTTTCCAGGGGCTGAAGGGGAAACCTCTCCCTGTAACCCCGTGTTTGACATTCCCGAGGGTGACATTCCAGGGCCATGGAATCCCCAGCCTGGGAATGCTGCTGTTTAATGGGATCAGGGGCCACAATTCCCTGGATTCCCCCCATTCTCAGGATCTCCAATTCCCGGGATTTGCCCTCGATTCCCGGGATTTGCCCGGGGCTGAAGGGGAAACCTCTCCCTGCAACCCCGTGTTTGACATTCCC